ATGGTTTAAGAGGTTGGTTAGTTAACGAGTAAAGGTCGTGAGGTGTTATTAATAGTCAACTGTGATAGAGTGGGAGGGTTACGTAGGAAGCATATTCTGAGTTCTTTGCACTTTTTTGGGTTCAATTTCATCTAATTTGAAGAACACCAGGTGGATATATCATCCAGGGTGGTTTGGATAGTTGATGAACCTTCTCGAGGTAGAACTTCGGCAATGGTTAGGTCATCAACGTACTTATTACATTTGTAGAGGCTGAAAAACAAAATGAAACAGCAGATATTATTAATGTTGTGAAGAAAGTAGTATTAGTAGTGCTAAATTTTTGTAACCTATTTTGAATTATTTGGAATGTTGATTTTGCCAACACTCAAAATTTTCACACAGTTATATCTTTTGCATGTACATTTTGCTGCTTGGGTTGATGTACTGTATTCAGTGTCTGCAGATTCTTTGAATTCAAAGTGGAAGAACACAGTAACACTGTGAAGTGTATGCCAATAACAATACCTTAAGATGCTGTGCCAAAATTCTTTTAAATTTTAGATCACATTATCTAATTTTTGTGAAAAAAATAACACAGGAAAATATGATTTGTTTTGTTTGAAGATGTAGGTTTTTGTTAAAGAATGTTACAAGAGTTAGATGTGAAAGTTAGTCCTAAATGATGAACCTTTATGATTGCTGGATTCTTTCTCTGAAATTATTTTGTCATTTCTTCCTTATTCTCTTAGTGTAACTTACATCCTAAAAACTCAAAGATAAAGGACCAACCTTTAAGTTTTTATTTCCAGCATGGGCTTTCTAGCTGCTAAGGACTGTTCAACACACATTCAGAATGCTCATGACTGGTCTGATAGGCTGTCAAATGGGTATAACCAGAACAAGAATTATATGGGATTTATGAGTCTCTATATATTTCAAGAGTGTTATTGGCTTTAAAAACTTTTAATGTTTCCATCTTTTTACTCGTGTTCAATTGACCTGAAATTACAGTGAATGGTTTGAACCAGGGAATAGCAGTCAGTGGTTTATTATAATCAACCAGTTGCCCTTGCAGTGACTGACATTTGAAACAAGAGTCAACAGCTGGCTCTTGGCTTCCTTCTACTCAAATCTTTAAGGGTTGGTTGCCATCTCCCATAACAGTCTATTCCAGAGCCACCGTTATCCAGATAATAACACTTCATACTTTTATGCAACTGTCCAAAATTGTTATTTTGAATTTACTGTCCAGAACTTCCTCTGGCTCTTTCAGTGCATTTAAGTCCCATTAATGACCATGCTAAGGTTTCCATGGATTAAAATAAGAAGAGGGAGTTTGGGATTAGGAGGAAAAAACAAAAAAGACATCTTTTGATCAAACTGTGATATTCTTCACTTTATTAAGATACAGGAATTGTTTGTAAATATTTGAATTGAAGGGAAAACATGCCACATCATTTTAATTCAGCAAGAATGAAATTTTAACTAAAAGAGAACTGGAAAAAAATATGTACTTAAGAACTTAGGTGCTAATTTCCTTCAAAGAATTGGAAACAGTATTAAAAGATTTACAAGTAGTTACTAAAAAATTCTCAAGATTAATGAAAAACTCAGAAGTGAATTTGAGACAACTCATTCTACCTTATT